CTTCTGCAGACCGCCCTGCCCCGGGCGCCTGGTGGCCGTTCTCACGGCCCCAGGGTCGCCCCCAGGGAGCCCGCCAGGTCGGGGCGCACAAGTTGGGGGTGCCACCTGGGCCCCCCCAGAGCCGTGTCTGCGGGCCCCAGTTCACACCTGACCCCCACCCAGCCGGTGGTGCTGGCCCTGCCCCCAGAGCCGGCTGCTCTCTGAAATCAGGCTGAAGAAGCCCACTTGCCAGCAGGACGTCTTGCACCCCCAAGATCCACTCGGCCTGCCCCGCACCCCACCCGCGGGCTGAGACTGCGGCGCGTCAACTGGCCCTGTCAAGAGTGTGGGCAGGGCGGGGGCAGGTGGCCAAGGGCCGGCCTGAGCCAGACAGGCACCATGGGGACACTGCCAGTCTCGGTCCCGGCTCATGTCAGCGCCCCTGGGGCTCGGGACGCCGCCTGTGGGGGAGGCCAGCCCTTGAAGCTCCCCTCCGCATGCGCCCCCGAGGCAGGGAGCCTGGCCCCGACCCCTGGGGTGGGCAGCGGAAGGGCCAGAGCGCCTGCTGCCCAGCGCCGTCACCCGCTCCGCTCTGCGCAGCCACGGAGGCGCCCTGCGCCCACCCCACCAGGGACGTGGGGTAGCGAGGCGGGGCGCCGGCATGGGAGGGGCCGGCACCTGCCCCGCAGGCCCCGGAGGCCCACCTCGGCGGGCGATCTCCGCCTTCAGCAGCCCCTCCATGGCGTCCGCCTCGGCCAGGTCCAGGGGCAGGTCCCCATCGCTGTTGACCGCGGCGATGTTGGCCCCGTGGCTCAGGAGGTACCTGCGGGCGGGGGAAGGTCAGGGCGCACTCGGCCGCTTCCCTCAGGCTCCGCCCCTCCCACCTCACCTGGCGATGTCCAGGTAGCCGCAGGAGGCGGCCACGTGCAGGGGCGTCCAGCCCTCGTTGTCCGCCTGGTTCACGGTGGCACCCTGCTCCACCAGAAAGCGCACCACCTCCAGGTTCTCGTCGATGCAGGCCTGGGGGGACCAGCCGTCAGCCCGGCAGACTCGGGCACCCAGAGTGGCACCTACCCGGGCCGGCGGCCGAGACGTCCCAGGAAGCGGCTGTGGCCCCGGATGGGGCCTGGGAAGCAGCAGCCCCCGGCCGCCCCCCCGCCCCCGGCTCCCAAGCCACGGTCAGCTGCATCCAGTCAGCGGGCAGCAGTAGGCCGGCCCGCGGGCCAGGGCCACCCACCCGGACAGTGCCGCGGCCCGTAGCCAGTGCAGTCCAGTCACCACTGCCCACCCACCCCTCCAGCCAGAGACCCAGCCTTGCCCTGCGGCCTGAGGTCCAGTCCCCCAGGTCCCTGCACCCCCCCACACGGAGGGAAGCAGTGGCCTCGCGGCCTGAGGGACGCCGGACCCCAGGCCTTGCAGGTGCCCAGGAAGGGGGAGCAAGCGAGGGTCCGAGGCAGCACCGGGGGAGGACGCTGGCCATACCCCGGAGCGAAGCACCCCTCAGCCTCCGAGGAAGCGGGCAGGAGCCGCAGCCTCCGGCGGGCGGGGGCGGAGGGGCTGGCGCGGGGGTCGGGAGCCCCCACTCCTTCACCTCTCCACACTGCCCATCTGGAGGGGGAGGAAGCGGCGAGGGCCAAGAGCATGAAGTCATGGAAACTCGGGCGGCCGCGCGCCCTGGGAACGGGATGAACTCTGGGCTCGTTTATTTCCCTCCGGTCGCCACGGCGACGGGGAGGGGGCACGCAGGCAGCAGCCTTTCCTTTCAAGGACCTGGCCGCATCCCTGCGGACCGGGCGCCCGCGGGCACCGGGCCGCCCCCTCCCTCAGGCCGCTCCAGGCTCCCTCAGCACCAGGAGCGGGGTGCACCTGCCTGCAGGAGAAGCCGCGAGGGCCAGCACCCAGCCTTGGGGAAGGGCGGCGAGGACACCCCACCCACCCGGAGTCACCCCGGGTGGGCCCTTCACGGGAAAGCGGCACTCGCAGCACCTACACCTAGACCTGCCACAAGCCCAGCTCCTGAGGCCTGCGCCCCAGGACGGGAACCGCCCCCCTCCGCGACC